AGTTGGGCCGGGAACAAGGAGTCCTGCCACTCAACTCACATACGAAAAAGGTAATCTCGTCAATTGGTACATGGAAAATAAGTTTGCCTCATCGACTTCCGCGACATTTGTTGAAATTCACATGCATGACAATGTGGCGTGGCGGTTAACATGTCACGGTTCGACTCCCGCTGGAGGTGGCGATGAGACCGGTTTCGGCGAGGTCGAAAAGATGGGCTCATTCTCATCCGATTGTGGGTCAATTCAACTGGCAGCGCTTGACCAACTTGAGCGAAACAGGGTGACAACAACTAAGTCACGCGTCAGCAACACATGTTGCACAGTCGAGCTGCTCACTTGGCTTCAAAGTCGATCAGTTGCATCTCGACCATCTCGAGGTCGGCATCGCGCCAGGCCGTGTCCGAGTAACTGGCCACCGTCCGGTTGACTTCGCTGTAGAGACCGTAGAGCCGTTGCAACAGCTCCAGTTGACGTCCTATGCGCTTCAGCTCCTCCAGATTCACAGTCGGCAGCCCGAACAACACTTGGCCTCGTCGACAGCTCTCCGCTTTGCGCAGCAACTGTTCGTGTTCACTGCGAAACAGCAACTGACAGTCGAACGCCTCGTGTTGCGATAAACCCGGCGTCATGGGGCCTCGCTGGACGGCGCATCGCGGAAATCGGTGACGGAAGAATGACAGAAAAGACACAAAAATAGTTTTATTGACAAAACTATGAAATGATTTCATCCTATTTTGTGCAAGGGGATACGGGGAATAAAGGAGATTTGTATGTTTTGCCACAACCACACGAGTAGACCATATGTTTTCATTCTATTCCATTTCACACAAACTTCCTTCGCAAACAGTTTGCAATACTCACATGATTGTGGGAAAATGCAACTGCAAGTCGTGCAACACCTTAAACGAAACAGAGCGAAAGTAATGTCGTCGATTGCTATGGTAAATAAAAGTTTGCTTCATTGTCAATCTCAATATAGAATGTGATATGGAAAATGCCTGACCTTCTTTCAAATTCACATCTTTCCTGTGCTCCAAGGGCACTCATACAATATGGTGGGCTGGTAAACGTATCGAAATTATACGCTGCACTGTCATGGTTGATAAGACCTATTCAGTCCACTTCAGCCGGGATGAGAATTAGTTTTGGGAAAGAAAGACTGTCTGAAATTCAATGGAAAACACCAGATCTACTCATACCATTTTGTGAAAATTCGACTACCACTACTACTTCATCCGCCTAAACGAAATAGGATGAATACATTTCGTATTAGCGATTTACTGGTAGTCTCGAAACTCTACTTACCTACAAAAAACTAATCGATGGTGCAAGGGAACAGGAGGTACACATGATCCCACCCTCGGCTCGTGTGAAAGGCAACTCAAAAACTGTATCGGCTGGCACGTGAAATAGCGTCATGAAGTCACCACAGGCTGTGACGTTCACAACAAAGAAACGCCCAATTAAGCAGGTAAACCTTCTAGAACATATGTTTGGCCTGGATGAAAAATTTACTACATAGTCTAACAATGCTACTTTATACTTTTGATAGTAGTATGATATAAGTTGGCCAATAAATACACTCGTACCGCATACAGGCGTTGTTTCATCACACTTATCTACTGTTTATTGAAGGTCACCTTACTGTTGATATAATTTCTATTTCGAGTAAAAATATGTAGTAAAGATTCCACCTGAAGACTACGGCGGATTCCTATTTGCCAAGCGTCGATTGGCTCCGCTAGAACATTCTTGCCAATATTATCCCCGAGACAATTTTCTTCGAGTTCAATAAAAATCTTTCAAGCTTCCTTCCGTCATTTTCAGATGGTCATCATTATTCTTACAAGATGATAATTCGTTTAAAACTAATGAGGCCTTATAATAAAGTTATTTCGACGGAGTTATATAAATTTACAATAACTAGACATGGCATAGTTATGATTTTTTTCTTGATGCCTGTCTTAATTGGTGAGTTTGGTTATATTTTATTATCTATTTATACACGTCAGGGCGATATAAAGCTTCTTCGAGTAAAATCATTTAGTCTTTG